CTGATTTTGCAAGAAGCTGGATGATCATTTATACTGTCAAGCTCATAAATTAATTGAAAAACCTTTAGTTCATGCAGTGTTTTGAAAGTGTGTCAATATATCACATTCAAGACTGCAATTGCTCTCTGTGAGGATTGGGTCAAATCGAAGGTATTAATTGAAATGTTCCCTTCTATCATAACATATTACTGCCGAACAGAAGTGTAGTTTTGGTTTGAACATTCAGGCTGGTAGCCAGGTTGGTTCAGGAATTCCCTTTTTTTTTTCTTTGTAGAAAATCACAAGGAAGCAGAGAAATGTTATGGTGGTGGAGGAGGTCTCCCGAGTGGAGCAGGAGTGCTACTTTATAAAGGCTGTTGCACAGGGCAAGCAAGGAGCATGGACACGCTGGGAGGATGTCGTGAACAGGGCCATATCCTGGGCAGATATTTGGAGAACTCCACAGTCACGGCTGAGTTTTCTCGTAAGAGCAGCATACAATACACTCCCCTGCCCCCGTAACCTTTCCCAATGGTTTGGATCTGAGGACAAATGCCCCCTGTGCGATAAAGCCAATGCAGGCCTGCAACATATCCTGTCGGGATGCAACGTTGCACTGGCGCAGGGCCGTTTTAGATGGCGGCACAAACAGGTGCTAAGAAAGCTGGCAGAGCATCTTGAAAAATGCAGAGTACAAGCAAACGCAACATCAGCATGTCCTCTGCCAAATATTAGGTTCCTCAGACCAGGAGAAGGGGGGCATATCACAGGTACAGAGAGAACAAGGTGCCTGCTCGTGCCTGGAAAGAGGTGGGAGATGCGCGTTGACTTGGACTCTCAGCTTATCTTTCCATCGGAGATCACAGAAACAACTCTAAGACTAGACGCAGTGATTTGGTCAGCAGTGGCTAAGAAGGTTCTGGTGATTGAGCTGACTGTGCCATGGGAGGAGGGAATGGCAGCGGCGCATGAGTTCAAGCGGCACAAGTACTCAGACTGAGCAGCAGAATGCAGAGTCGAGGATTGGACGTCGACAGTACATCCCATAGAAGTTGGGTGCAGAGGATTCGTTGGGAAGTCTGTAATTCATCTTCTCCACGCTGCCGGGCATCTGGAAGGAGTCTGAGGAGAGCTGTTAAGCAGTTGGCAGAGTAGGCAGAGAAGGCAAGATACTGGATGTGGCTACGAAGGAGGGACAAAAATTGGGGTGCGGTACCCCATTAAGGGCAGCTGCAGGGGGTGGCGGGGAGACGTCCCCCACAAGCCACTGCCCCCCAACCGGGAGGTGTACTGGATAGGGGGCGAAACATCAGTGAGCGGTGGTACCAGCTGATGACCCTGCAGCTGACCCAGAAGTGCACTGGAGGAGGTGCTGCAGACAGTAATGTCAAGCAGGCATTTAATACTTGTAATGGAAAATTTGCATATGAAACTTATTCAACAAAATAAAGAATTTTGTAACAGAAACTTTGTTATTCACATTAACATTAATAAAATGCCTCCAAATTATTCATTACATCGTTAATTTTCTTTTTGGCTAAGTCCCTTTATTAATCCGTGGTCTCACACAGCGGAATAAACCACCAACTTATCCATCACGTTTTAACGCAGCGGATGCCCTTCCAGGCGCAACCCATCTCTGGGAAACATCCACACACACTCGTACACTACTGACAATTTAGCCTACCTAATTCACCTACACTGCATGTCTTTGGACTGTGGGAGAAACCGGGGCACTCGGAGGAAACCCACACGAACGCAGGAAGAACATGCAAACTCCACACAGAAACGCCAACTGACCCAGCTAGGGCTCGAACCAGCTACCTTTTTTCTGTGAGGTGACAGAACTACATAATGCGCCACTGCGTCGCCGAAAGCAACATCAAATCAAGTCAAATAAAGTGTAAAGCAGAAGCTGGACATTTCCATTTTAGAGCAATGGAGGGGGACTTCACTACTTTATCCACAAACTCTCAATGCATTCAGAACCTTTTTTAAAAGTTACAAAATATACTGATACTGATGCACACATATTATTGCATATTGTAATTATTGGGAATGTAGCAAGTCCAAGAGTTATAATAGAGGGTTATCTCCAACCCATTCCATCATTATCTACACCCCTGCTGTCAAATCTCACACATACACATTTGAATCCAAAAGAAGCTGAGCTTTTGAATATCTCCGTGATCATGAATATCTTTTAGATTTTACATCTACAGCAAAGGGTCAATGAAAAACTATTTGCATATCCATTTCCATGTGCTTATTTCTCATGCAATGCTAATAAATGATTTCAGAAGGAGTACATTGTGGATTCCTTTTATCGTGTTTTTATGGAGGCTGTGCGATGCGTAAAGGAAGTCAAACAGATTTGGTGTAGAACCTTTTAACGTTGAGAGTTTGGTTAAATGGGTAAATTCAATTCATTTAAGACTCACTTCTATGAAACTTACCTTAGACAGACTACAATTAAATGAACCGAGGATGACGCAAATCTGAGCTGAATGTAATTAAGGCAAAAGAAGCACATCTGAAAGCTTGAGTAAAAGGGTTCTTGTGCCTACACATGTGAATATGAGAACTCTTTCATCTCAGTTTTCACGTTGTCTCTTACCATTATGTTTATTCTTCCGGGCCACTTAAAATGCTCACTCTTTGCACACTCAGGAGGACCGATGGCAGAGGAAGCGAGAGAGTCCGGGCCCGATCCTCTCTCGCTTCCTCTGCCATCGGTCCTCCTTTTATGGTCCAGAGCTCCTTCTGTGGGATCCGTGGGATCCGCAGGTGCGCACCGCAGGTGTATCCACTTACGTGGTGGCCTCACCCCGTTCCCACGGCTCTCGGCCACGCCCCCTCGCCACAATGTGCTTAAAGGGGCTCATAATTTTGTCCCAAAAATGTTTTTTTTTTTTTAAATTAAAAACTTACTTTTATTCTAGCCGAAATAAAAACTATAAGACTTTCTCCAGAAGAAAAAATATTATCAGACATACTGTGAAAATTTCCTTGCTCTATTAAAAACCATTTGGGGAATATTTAAAAAAAAAATTGAAAGGGGGCTAATAATTCTGACTTCAACTGTGTGTATATATATATATATATATATATATATATATATATATATATATATATAAAAATAATTATATTATTATATATATATATTACACTAGTTTCTGAGATTACAATATATATATATATATATATATATATATATATATATATATATATATATATATATATATATATATTTATTTATTTTTTTATAATTTTTCTTATAATCTCGGAAAATAGTGTAATCACTTATCATATTTTATTCAACACAATCTCACAGAAATTCATAACTTTTTGATTTTGTGGCAAATAAATATATACCTATATAATATATATAAAAGCATGTTCAGTGTGATCGGCCCTCTTATTGTGTTTCTGTCACTCTAATATCAAAGTGAAACACTAAACCTACAAACAGTTCTGTCCAAACAGCTTACAAAAGCTCGTTTTCATCATATAGGTGCCCTTTAAATGATAAACTACTTTTTAAAAACATTTTTAATAACATTTCACAATCTTACTGTATTTTTTGATGAAATAAATGCAGCCTTGGTGCAATAAGCTTATTTCAAAACATTATAAAATTGTACTGACCCCAAATTTTAGACCGGTCGTGCATATATTTAAGGTAACACTTTTTAGTATGTGTAACAATTCTCACTAATAACTACTGGCTTACTATCTGCATATTATTAAGATTACTATCTGTTTCTTATTACTTACAAAGCACGTATTCTGCATGATCTTATTCTGCATCTCTAATTCCTAAACCCAACATCAACATGAATAACTATTAATAAGCAGCAAATAAATACTTCATAAAGGCATAGATACTTGTTTGTTAATATTGAGAAATCTTCAGCTTAGTCCCTTTTATTATCAGGGGTTGCTACAGCGGAATGAACCACCAACTTATCCAGAATATGTTTTGCGCAGTGGATGCGCTTGCAGCCATAACCAAGTACTGGAAAACACTCATACACTCTCGCATTCACACACATAAGCTGCGTCCCAAATCGCATACTTATGCACTATTCTACGCCATTTTGTAGTATAAAAAGTGTAAGTAGTGTGTTCACACTGAAAACTCTAAAAATAATAAGTGCACTTTAATTTCCCGGATGATGCACTCATTCAGCCGCTAAAATGAAGTGTGTAATGATGGACACTTCACGCACTCAACGACCGCAGGTTTGCCTACGTAGCGGAAGAGGCGGAGCTATCGGACGCACTTGTTGGATAACTTTATTTATTTTGGATGGTGAAAACAAAATTCTTCTACGAGAGTGATTATAGCGCCTCCCGATGGTGAATGCGGCAACACTCACGGCAGGTAATATTTGATAATTCGGTCGTTTATTTCACTGATTTGGCGTCCGTCAAACGTCATCAGGAAAACGGTTTGAATTTCCGCTTAGTAAAAAAACATTAGTGTGCCATTTGGGACGACACTACATGCATATACTATCCTGTTGAGTGTGTAAGTGCATAAGTACATAGTGCATGAGTGCATAGTGTATAGTGTGCCATTTGGGACGCAGCTATACACTACAGCCAGCTTATTCAATTCACCTGTACCACATGTCTCTGGACTTAAGGGGAAACCGGAGCACCCAGAGGAGAACAAGCAAACTCCACACAGAAATCCTAACTCACCTGGGACTCAAACCAGCGACCTTCTTGTTGTGAATCGACAGTGCTAACCACTAAGCCATTATGCTGCCCCTGACCAAATTAATTTATCTAAATAAATTAATTGAATAAATGCTGTAAGAAAAACTTTTCCAGCTATTCTACACTAATAATAATTCAGTCATTCCATGACAAAAATACAAATAAATCACATGATATATAACAAAATAATTACAACAAAATACAGTTCAAAATAAATCGTAAACATAGGGATGTATTGTACACAAGCATTGCAGCACACCAAACAGTCTAGTTATGAAAACTGCTGTTCTTACCTTATAGAGTCAGTCCTTATGTCCGGTTTACAGAAAAATCTGAAGTCTGAGAGCCATCAGCCTTGGTTTTGGAGGGAAAGCAAACAGTAGACTATGAAAAGAGCGGAGGAGGTCGAGAAGTCATGGTGCGCGAGTGAACATGTACTATGCCTGCTGCAGCAGCAGCGGGGAAACATACTGAGAGACACAAATCACAGCGGTGGCGCTCCGAGACGCCTGCTATGAAAGATTCACTCTCTCCCTCTACTATCTCCCTCACTTTCCCCTGCTCACCCCCACCCTCTTTCTGTTCCTGTCCTTCTTCTCTCCTCCTCCTCTTGTAACTAATCCTGCTTTTTGCATCGACTCGCATCTCACATCTCTCACTCAAGTCCTCTCTGTCTTCCTACAAAAGCTTGCTATTCATTTCTGTTCTTGATCAGTCTGAGAGAAAAGTCCTCGATTAGCTGGTGGTGCTGCTGGTTTGGAAAATGAGTCCGAATATGCCATGCAGCTTCAGAAGTCTCTTTCAAGTCGGCAGAGAGGACATCAAAGAAAACAATGGAAGTGCACATCTTTCCATTATCTACGCTCATAGTTTCCATCATCCTCTAGAAGACACTTGATCATTTTCTGGAAGGTTTGCACAAAGTGCGTCCTTTGTTTTAAATCTCTAACTGTTTGAGGGTTCATTTTATTTCTACCAAGTTATGTTTTTAACATTTTTTCTTTACTTAGACACAGTATAAAGGGTATTGCCAAGAGGAATACTGGAATAAAAGCTGGCTTTCAGTCGCTGGTTGACCGCAGCACAACCGCGCTGCACGTCTGATCTCTTCCCTCAAGGCTGTCAGCTTCAACCACTGGCAGCGGTTTGTGAATAGATGAAGTTGCCTCTTGAGGAAAATCAATATGTGATCCAGAACCAATCAACACTAAAACCTCAACTACAGGCACAACTAAGCATCACCAAATGGGTTTCTTGCGATCAACCATTTTAACGCCCTATTCACACGGGGCGTCAGCGTCACCGCTTCCCATTCACTTTGAATGGGTGACGTCAGGCGTTGCCGAACTGCATTGTGGATCCGTCGGCGCCGCTTCAGAAGCGTTCCTCGCTGCAGAAGTTGGGACCAGCTCAACTTTTCAAGCGCCGACGGAAGCGTCAGCCAATCAGATCGCTGTATGCAAATACACAGCTCAGACAGTGGCCTATTGCTGACTGAATTTCATTGGCTGACGCTTCTATGACGATCGTTTCAGCTCCAACTTCAGACACGCCCTCTGTCAAGCGTTGACGCTGAAGCCCCGTGTGAATAGGGCGTTAAAGCAATTACCAGGGTTTTTATTTACCCAGTTGAAGTCAGAATTATTAGCCCTCTGTTTATTTTTTTCTCCAATTTCTGTTTATTGGAAACAGGATTTTCTTTTCAACATAATAGTTTTAATAACTCATTTCTAATAACTGATTTTTTGTAATCTTTGCCTTGATGACTATATAATAAAATCATACGTGCCTGTCAGTGACTCGGCCCCAGTCATTCCCCTCGCTGGCCAGCAGAGGCCGCCATCTCCGGACTTCTAGCATTACATCATCCACTTACACTGATCGTGCACACCTGATCCAGATTCCAGTTAACGACCCACGTACCCTTTATAAGCCGCACTCAAACACTCAGTCAGTGCGAAGTCTTGTTTAGCCCCGGCCAGCATTACTGAGCGTTATTTTCCTGCCTGATCTCCTGTGTATTACTCCAGCCCGTTTCTGACTCTGCTTCGCCTTTTGCCTGCCCACGACCCAAGCCTGATACACGGACTCTGATACTCGCTACCTGCCCACGACCCAAGCCTGATACACGGACTCTGATACTCGCTACCTGCCCACGACCCAAGCCTGATACACGGACTCTGATACTCGCTGCCTGCCCTCGACTCAAGCCTGATACACGGATTCGGAATCACGCCGCCTGCCTTTGACCCAGGCCCGGTAAATCACTCTGTGTCTGTCTGCCGCCAGCCTTGAGAACATTACTACTACTGTTGATGTGTGTTTGCAACTTTGTGCATATTGAGTGTTTGAGTAAGAGTGTGATAAATAAATACTGCATAATGGATCCTTCCGTGTCAGTCTCCTCGTTACAGTGCCATTTCTCGTAAATCCTCCATTTTGGGTACAAGTATCTTAAAGTCCTTCTCATCCTTGAGAGAAGCCAGTTGGCTTGACTGACCCACCAACCCCCTTCCCTAAACCCAATCATTAGTGTTTTCAAAAGCAAACTAGTAAAGAAAAAGAACATACTTCTCATTTCTCAAAAATGTATCCTTGGGCACATTTTCCTTGACTGAACTCTAAACTGGCAAAACGTAAAATACTTAAGTTTTCTTAAGTATTTAAGAAATCATCAGGCTGGTGGAACCCATGCAACCTTTAACTCTGACAAGGTGTCTAGTACCATCCTTCTTCCCTAAACCCAACCGATTATTATTTTCAAAAGTACCAATCCTTCCACCCACTTCCCTAAACCCAATCAACAGTGTTTACAAAAGCAAGTTTTTTGACGTTTTTTTTGTCAACCGTTTTTTGCTGGACTCGAACCACATCGAACTCCTCTCTGCATCTCTGGTCTGCCGATTTACGCAGCCAGCCACGGGACAAACTATTAACAGCAGGAAAGACGTCCATACAGAGGTAAGCGATCAGCTGGTAAGCGGCAAAAGGAACGGCATTGTCACGATTCTCACTCACCATACTTATGGACTACAATTCCGCCATTCCTGGACTACATATTCATACATGCACTTCGCCCAGACACACATGCTTACTCATCTAGATTGATTACATTCACACCACCTGAGGATTGTCAGAGACTGATTGTACACACTATTTAAGCCACACACTCACCCATTCAGTTTGCAGAGTCTTGTTTATCTTTAGATGACATTACAACGCGTTACTCCTGCTAGTTTTCCTGTGTTTCAACCTAGGCTTGTATTCTTGTTCTCCCTGCCTGCCGCCTGCCTTTTTGACCTCTCGTTTGTTACCGATTACGATTCTAGACTGCCTACACATACCCGTTTGCAACTGTATTAACCATTGCTTGCCTGACGACAAATAAACCTGCATTTGGATCTTACCCCAGTTGTATGTGTCACTCCCTGAGGTTACAGGCATCATACCGCCTTCTAGTGTTCATTTTAAAGATGAAATGCCGCCATATGTACCTCTGACTACATAATTCGTGGTCTCCAGAAACATATATAGGGGTATGTGTTCAGAATGAGCTATCTCTTTAAGTGTTTGGATTTGAAACAGTATTTTGGTGCAGTCGACTTTTGTTGACAGGGCCAGCAATAGAAAACAGCTATGTTGTGTAATGGTTTTGTAGTATAGCTGACACCTATCTTCTTGGTGCCAGAACACTGTGATTATCTTTTTATAGGTCTGAAATTGTGGACGATGGCACTGCCACACATGTTTGATTCCTCTTAGACATAGTCAGCCTGATGAATGCAAGGGTCTACTGTAGACTGTATTGCTCTTCTAATGACTGATTGGGAATCTCAGAATAGACAGGTTTATGTTCGCAGAGCTGGAGACAACACTACGGAATTCACTGATAACACAGTAATCTCCGGTCATGTATCGCAAACATGATCTAACCCTGAATCAAAAGGTGATTCATACTGCAATGACACAAAAACTGGGACTAGAGGCTTTTAGTGAGACAATCTGATAACAGACTCGACTAAAAAAAAAAGCAGCGCTGATTACATAAACGTTGACTTCTTGAGCCGATAAGTAAACTGTGTATGTCCCAGTTCCCCTCAACAATTAGCAGTTACAACAAGCATGTTTGATCTACAGAGACCAAGAAAGCAAAGCTTTAGCGAGTGCAGCTGCTGAACATGATGAATACTGCATATCATTTCCATGCATACTATATGTTGACTTATGATTTTTGTCTCTCCATCTGCTCCAACAGTGCACATTTCCACTAACACTGTTGAAAAATATGAGGTAAGACTTTAAAATAATGGTCGATTATGGCCAGTTTCCACTAAGTGGTTCGTTATGGTATGAGTCAGTACGGGTCACCTTTATCAGGCTTGCATTTCCACCGGCAAAAGGGTACCAATGGTCACATATCAGAAGACATATCACACTAACAAAACAGATGCTTTGTACATATAAACACTTGTGTATAATTGCTCATTACTAACCTTTTTATGAATATGATTTGATTATAACTGCAGATGAATGACGAAAGTGCAAAATAGCCTACTGTAATGTCTGCAATTCTATGAAATAAATATAAAATGAACATATATGGACACATACAGACCCTTACAGTCTCCAATATGTCACCAATTACAGAAAAACTACCCTACTGGAAAAAACAGCTTAAACCAGCCTAGGCTGGTTGGCTGGTTTTAGCTGTTTTTTTCAGCAGGGTAGACACATCCTATATTTATTCCTTGATTGGGTTCAAAAACAACATGCAACATATTACCCCAGTTACCTCTCACCTGTATCTTTAATCTTCAGCAGCACATGTAACCTCTGTTAGAAAGTAATTTCGGCATTCCGAGTTTATTATAGTCCAAAAGGTGATAATAATAGTTAAATAAGGCAGTTTATTCATGTTTTAGGTTGCTGAAAAAGTCATTTGCTCCTTTGTTTTTTCTGACTTCTCCTTAATTTTTTGTGTGTGTCAGTCTCGCTGTTCGTTATATCATCATTTCAAATATAGACACGCCAATCAAACCAATCCATAGATTTTCGATGATGTTCAAGGCTAGGGATTGGGATGACCATTCTAGAACTGTATTGTGTCTGAGCATGAATTGCTTGGTCGATCTAGAACTGTGCTGTTGGTCATTGTCCTGCTGAAACATCCAACCCTGTTGTAACTTTAGCCTTTTGACTGATACATTGCTCTTCAGAATCTGCCGATACTGGGTGGAACCAACACAATCTCACGGCAATTTGTAACTTTTTCATTCAGTGGTTAATTGGTATGAATTCGTACAATCTAATTTGTACATTTTAGTATCCCCCAAGAGCAGTTGGGTTTAGGGGTGGAGTTAGGCGCCACGCCTCCTTTTTAAAATCGTACAATTTCGTACAACTAAACTCGTACGAATTTGTACAAATTAGCCACTAAACGTAAAATGGCAAAACGTAAAATACTTACGTCTTCTTGTGAGATCAGGCTGGTGGAACCCATGCAACCTTTAACTCTGACAAGGTTTCCAGTACCATTCTTCTTCCCTAAACCCAACC